GTAGGCTCAGTCTTATTTTATGGTCTGGTTTTCACTCGATACATCATTCAAGAAATGCTTTCAACGAATAGCCTGAGTAAAGCAGTCATTTGTTCTTATAATAATACATTTGGCCACGATGACCTCTGATGACAAATGTCAAATTTTTCACGGTAAGTTAGCAGTACTAATGACGAGTAATTAACAGTCTGTATCACCGTCTTTTCGCGTTGAATATTCAAATTCTATTCGAGTCAAAGTTATCTTGAAAAATGATTGTTTATTTCGTAAATGAACTAACTAACTTTTCACTCATTTCGACTTTAGTCAAGTGTTAATAATTTTTTTAAACATCACTTATCTGTTTACTTACTGTCTTCTGTGTTAATATTGCAGCAACATTCCGCTTTGTCATCAATGAAAGTTTAACAGTTTTTAGTATAAATGCTTTCTGCTCATAAGAATAGCTTCTCTTTAGTGCGCAGAAAAGTTCTATGATATTTTTTGCTTTTTTACGGTTTTTATATAATTTGATCGTATATAATTATATATTATATGAGACAAAGTAAATATGTAACGGTTTTGTAAAACTGTAAAGAAATTACATTGATTGATGTGTGTTTAAATATATACATATATATATATTTCTTTGGAATTATTCTACAGAAATTTTCAGTCCGTGTTTTGTTTCGTCCTTCTCACTTTTAATATCCAGCAACTTTTTTAATTGTAAACACTATTTTGGAATAGACTTGTATATGAAAACAAAAGCTATGAGCAGCTTCTAACTGCTTGTTGTTGACCTTTAATTGTTAATAAATGATTTGAGACGTTTGAAGTTCTGATTAGCTAGGCTAAAAGCTCACTTCGTCTTTTAAAGTTCTTCTGACTTAGGCTTTCTTTTTCTATCACTCAGCTACTGCTCCTCGTTACGACTGCTATTTATACCATAATATTAGTTATTGGGGTATTAAGCGTAAAATTATAAAAGTTTTAAGTTTTCGCATTCTCATCTATATATCTGTTTCCCTGAAATTGGCATGATAATTTTTGTTCTATAATTGCCTAACTAAGTAAGATATTTGAAACTGGGCTACTCAGTTGCTTGTCTATTGCACGGTACTTTCACCGACTGAAAATTGCAGTGGAATTCAGCAGTATTCCGCAGTTGGAGGTCTGCTAATTTAAGACATCGTAAACGTTGTCACGGAGGCAAAATTTGGCTTTTGAATGCCCGAATCAGAATCTTTTTTCCCATTTAACAGATTTTTTCTTTAGTTTTCTTTTTTTTTTAGTCTCTGCTGAACACTCCACTTACTTAATACTTTTTACCAGTCCAGACATCAGAAACAATTTTTTAAAACCAGTTATTGCCTCCTGAAATCCTGAATATTGTGTTAGTCATTTTAATATGTATTTGTTTCGTCCCAGCAGAAAGTGAGTTGTATCATCAGTATAGGTCAGTAAGAAACCTATTTCGCAACAACAGTTCCTAATTTTAAGTTCTTGAAAGCTTCTATTTTGTTTTGTTTTTCTTTTTAACACTGTTGTTTTGTTACCAATTATTTTGTCATTTAGTTGCTCAACTAAGACGTTTGAAAAGCAAATTCAAGAACACGGGAGTTTCAAAAGAGTGTAAGATCAATCAATCCACGTCAACAATTTTACGACTGAAAACACTTAGAGGTAAAGTCAGTTTACAGAGGATTTCAGTCTTATCCTAATTTTAAGCATTTAATGTTGTCATTTTCTACTCGGCTACTGGTGTGGTCAGTTTTGCTTACTTTGCCTTTCTTTTCTTCCAATCTTTCCTGCTAAAAGAGCCGCTTGTTCATTTGGCTCTCATCACATTTGGCTTTGTGGTTACTTATTTGGCTAACTCTGCTGTCCTTCAAATACTGTACACTTGTGGAATGTGCGGATGAAACTTTCGCATTTTCAGTGCAATTAGTTTAGCAATCTTTACATCAAGTTTTAAGCAGCTTTAAATCACACTAATAGTTTTCTTTTTTTTTTTTT